TATGCGTGCCAGGGTCGGAAAGCGTGGCAGGCGTGGCACTTTGTCGCCACCAGAGGGGGTGCGCGTGGGGTGGTCCGTCAGCGCGGCGTCTATGCGGGTCATGGCGCAAGGCGTAGCAGGCGTGGCTGTTTCCCGACACCAGAGGGGGTGCGCAGGGGGTGGTACCTGAGCGCGGCCGCTATCCGTGCCGGTCGTCCAGGGCATAGCAGGAGTGGCACCTTCCCGACACCATAGGGGGTGCGCAGGGGGTGGTCCCTGAGCGCGGCCGCTATCCGTGCCGGTCGTCCAGGGCATAGCAGGAGTGGCACCTTCCCGACACCACAGGGGGTGCGCAGGGGGTGGTCCCTGAGCGCGGCCGCTGTCCGTGCGGGTCGTCCCGGGCATAGCAGGAGTGGCACTTTCCCGACACCATAGAGGGTGCGCAGGGGGTGGTGGTCCCTGAGCGCGGTCGCTATCCGTGCCGGTCGTCCAGGACGCTGCTGTCCGTGACGGCCGTCCAGGGCATAGCAAGCATGGCATATTCTCGACACCACAAGGGGTGCGCACGGGGTGGTCCTTGAGCGCGGCCTCTATCCGTGACGGTGGTGCTCAGGGCACATCGGTACGCAAGTTTGCTATCCGTGCTGGTCGTGCTCAGGGCACAGGGGAACGCTGGCGGAGCAGGCGTGGCATATTCTCGTAACCTTGGGGGGTCCGCAGGTGGTCTCTGAGCGCGGCCGCTATCCGAGCCCGTCGTCCAGGGCGCAACAGGCGTGGCACTTCCTCGACACCATAAGGGGGTGCGCAGGGAATGGCCACCGACGTCACTCTCACATGCTTCACATCACTCCAGCCATGGCACAAGTAGTTATGTGGGGCTCCTCGGCAGCGTAATTCTTCGACTGCTCCGGGGACGACGGAGGAGGAGGAGGAGGAGGAGGAGGAGGAGGAGGAGGAGGAGGAGGAGGAGGAGGAGGAGGAGGGAGGGGGGAGGGTGCGAGGGCCCGCGCCGACCGGCACAGCGACGAACGAGACAGCACGATCACAGCACACAAGCTGGCGGAGGTCCGCGCGGACTCTCCGGATCGGTGGGGAGGGGGGAGGAGGAGGGGAAGGGGGAGGAGGAGAGGAGGAGGAGGAGCGAGGAGCGAGGAGGAGGAGGAGGAGGAGGAGGAGAGAGGAGCGAGGAGCGAGGAGCGAGGAGCGAGGAGGAGGAGGAGGAGGAGGAGGAGGAGGAGGAGGAGGAGGAGGAGGAGGAGGAGGAGGAGGAAGAGGAGGAGGCCGAGACTCCCCCCTCCACGACGCGCGCAGGGGCTGTGCCGTGGAGGCGCCGTCGAGGAGGCCTCCGGCGCCGATCCGGGAGATCCCCGCACGGGCCCCGAGTGTGTGTTCGGGCCGATGTTTGCCCAGCCGCCCCTTGGTTTGGGCTCTCGCTCTAGGCCGGGCAGGTACTCCTGCAGGCAGGAGAGGCCAGAATCGAATCGACAAGTCGGATCGGCGATCGAAATGGATGGGATCGGCGGACATCGGCATTCGAGTCGGGAGAAGTCGAATCGGCGGAAATCGGCAGGCCAGTACCCCTCCAATGAGAAATCGGGAGCCAAATCGGAATCCGAAGCCGAATCGAGTCGGAATCGGAAGCCACCGAAATCGAATCGAGTCGAATCGGAGGAATCGAAATCAGCCCTGTGCAGGCGGATCTGAGAGGAACAACCATCTTCGACACAGATGTGAGAATAGATACGACATGCTCCATCCAATCAAACCCGGAGACTATTTTTCACTCTTCGGAGTCTTCCTCCGATAGAGGGACGTGCCCGGCCGGCTTGTCGCTCCGAGGACAGCAGTGGGGTCGCCAGCTCCCTGGTCCTTTCCTCGGGCGTATCCAAAGGGGGGTTCAAAGGTCATCACGCCTCAACCTCCGCCTGCTGCAAGAGCTGAGATCGAGCAGGCTCCCTGGTCCTCTCCTCCTCCCGCCCTCCGTTTCCCCTCTCGCGATCTCGCCCGCCTGCCTGGCAGCCTCCCTCGGGTGCCGACGGGCTGGGCAGGCCGCGGGGTCCTTTTTTTGTCCGACCGCTGGGGCCCTCGGGCCTGCCGGGCCGAAGCCTGCACGCTGGGCGCTTCCAGCGTCAGGTCGGGCACGTCCCCCATGCAGGCGGACTCTGTTGGAGGCCTGGAAATTGGCACCAACACCAGAACAGGGGGTTGCCTCCACATGGGCAAGATGATCCTAGAGTTCGGTGTTGGTGGTAATATTTCGGTCACCTTGGAAGCCGGAATATTACCACCATCACCGAGATCGGGATCTTCTTCCCTCGGTGGAAGCACACCGCCGATCTTGGTGTTGCTGTTAACCTCTAGGCCTGCGACTCTGGGCGAAGAATGAGACACACTCAAAAGATGCTTCTTTGTGGTTGAGAAACAGAAGAAACCGTCCCCAGACTATTGCTGGACCTTTTCTGACCTTGGCTGCCCCGATACGCAGCACGCAACAGGTATCGTATTGAGACGCAGCTCACCACGTAGGCCGAAAACGTGGGTCCGACGCGATACACTCGCCGAAACGGGGTCCAATACGCGGGGCCAGCACGCACCGTATTGACACGGACGTCTTGAACACGGGACGTGTTGCGTTTCATTACGGGCGTATCGAGGCAACTCAGTTTCTGAATCTTCCTCCTCTATACACCCTGCGAAATGCTGAAGAAATCACGGGTTAAGAAATTCATAGTCTCAGAACTTGAATAAAAACCCAAAATGTCCATTCAAGTCTTAGGATTTACATTGAAACGTTAAGAATAATCGAGACTCTGGCCGAACATTCAAGTTTTCTTAAGCATCGCCTAAGGTGTATAGAGGGACAGGCCCGACGTAGTCCCAGCGACACCCTCCCGCTCCCGCGGCTGGGCCCCGGAGGACCCAGTCGTCCCAGCGGGCGGAGGCGTCGCCGAAGGGGCCCGCGGCGGCCGCGTAGGGCACGTCGCTGCAGTTGCTCGCCCGCCGGAGGGGCCCAAACTTCTGGCAGAAGTGCCGGCACGCGGTCGGTTGGCCAAGGCCTTTTTTTCTGGGATCGTCCCTGCTTGGGCGGGGGACGAAGGGGGGGTGGCGGGGGGAAGGAGGCCTCGACCAACACGGTGCCTTCCGTGTCCGTTCCGTTTCCGTGCTCCCCCTCGGTGCCGTCTTCGTTCCACCTCTGCGGCAAGCCGAGATCCGCCGACCCTGTCGGCGTGTCGGCGTGTGTGAGGGGCTTGTCCGTTCGAGTCGTCGTCTCCGTCAGTCGTTCGTCGTCGTTTCTGTCGCCCCCTTTCCGTGCGCTCACACTTTCCCTGTGCCCGTCGCCGCCCCCCCCCCTTTCCCTGGGCCCTCCTCCTCAAGCGCTGGGCCCGTCGCCGCTGCCCCCCCCTCTTCCCTGGGCCCTCCTCCTCATCAAACGCGCCAACCATAAGCGAAATTGAGCGACGTCGTAATTGACTCGAAGGGAAGCCCCTTCCCTCTGATCCTTCCCCCGCCGGGAGGGGGAGGGGTCCCGGGGGGGGGGGGGTCCCGGGTCAGATGCGACTCCCCCCGCGGGGGTCCCGGGGCCGCAAAAAATCCCAAGAGGGGCCAAGAGTGCCCCAAGAGGCCCCCAAGACGGTCCAACAGGGCCCCGAATCGCCGAACGACCTGTCCCAAACGCCTTGACGGTCTCCAGAGGGCCCAAGAGCCGTGCCAGACGCCCCCAGAGGCCTCCAGGAGCACTTCCAAGAGGGCCCCCAGTGAAGAAATCAATGATTTCCCATTGGTTTTTGAAGCATTTCGGCGTTCTCGCCCCTTCTGCTCCCAGACGCTCCAAGACGGCCCAAGAGGGCCGCCAGATCGCCCCAAGGGCCCCGAGACGGCCCAAGACGCCTCCAAGACGGCCCAGGAGGCCCCCAAGACGGCTCCAAGAGGGTGCCCAGGCGAGGGACCAGAACGGACATTCGAGCCCTCGGCCCCGAGAGGCTCCCAGGAGGAACCAAGAGGCCCCCAAGAGGCCTCCAGGAGGCCCTAAGAGGCCCCGAAGAGGCTCGCAGGAAGCCCCGAGAGGCCACCAAGAGGCCCCCAAGAGGCCCCCACGAGGCTCCCAAGATGCCCCTAAACTGTCCCCCAGAGGCCCCCGAGAGCGCTTCGAAGAGACCCCAAGAAGCATCCATGAGGACTCTGACCCACGTCAGCGTCGTCGTCGTCGCCGCCGCCGCCGCCGTTGTCGTGGTTCCCCTTCAGGGTCGGCGGCACGGGCCGCAAGGCCCTCGCACTCAGAACGAACACGGTCCACGAAATCGCCCGAACACCGTCCAGGTCAACCCCTGGAGGAAAGATGGGGTGAAGGAGGTTCTGGGACAACGCCTGTCTTTCTCTTGAGGGGTCCGGTCCTGGAAGCGCTTCTTGAGCAGGGACCGACCGTCCCGGCATTCCCATAGTCCAACCACGAAGCGTTCGTAGAACCCACAAGTGTTCTAGGAACAAGAGGAATGCTCTTAGAGCATAAGCCCGACGTGTTGAGCCAAGACCGTCCCAACCAGAGATGTTCCAATAACATTCCTTGGAAACCACAAAAGGTTCTTAGAACATTGATTGGTAGGGCTACAGGCGGACCTAGGACAGAAGAACACCCCTCAAGAACATGAGACCCTCCGCCGGCCAAAACAAACGGAACACCCAAGGGTACCCTCCCCAGGATGCACAGGAGCATCCAACAAGCGCAAAGAACACAAGGGCACCCTCCCCGAACCGCACTCGATCTTATACCTCGGTCCGACTGTATAGGCGAGCCGGGACGCTTCGCCAATGCTTGATTCGTTAAAGGCTTAACGACTTCTGCCGTCCGTCGACTCGCGCTGGAGCGGCCGCGAAGTGCTCGAACTTTCCCTGGAGATCTCTGGATTTACCTGGATGTACCAAGATTTATCTAGATTTACCTGGATTTACCTCGATTTATCTGCATTTACCTGGGTTTATCTGGTTCGATTCTCACAAGTCGATTGGCGAAAAGTCGACAAGCCCTAAGGGATTGATGGAAGCGTTTCAGCTCCTGGGGCGCCTTCCACCGGCTGCGCCGCATCGGGCGCCCTCTGGGGAGCCCGGCGGGGTGCCGGCCGGCCGCCGGAGGCCCGGGTCGCAGGCCGACAGCCGGCGGGTGGAGGGAGGAGGAGGAGGAGGATGAGGATGAGGATGATGATGAGGATGATGATGATGATGATGGTGGTGATGATGATGATGATGATGCTGATGAGGATGATGATGATGATGATGATGATGATGATGATGATGACGAGGATGATGATGATGATGATGATGATGATGATGATGATGATGATGATGATGATGATGATGATGATGATGGGGATGAAGATGAGCATGATGATAATGCTGATGCTGATGCTAATGATGATGCTGATGCTGCTGATGCTGATGCTGACGATGATGATGATGCTGATGCTGCTGATGCTGACAATGATGATGACGATGATGATGATGATGATGATGATGAGGAGGAGGAGGAGGAGGAGGAGGAGGAGGAGGAGGAGGTGGAGGAGGAGGAGGAGGAGAGTGATGAGGAGGAACGAGGAAACACATGTTTGCGTGTTGCACCCGCTTCGAGTTCTGCACAGAACGCGCTCTGGGGTCCCGGGGGATGGATACTAACGAAGATGTCCACTCCTATCGGGGGAGGCGAGCCAACCTATGCCATTTTGGCGCCCGAGCTCCTCTCCGGGCCCTGGGGCAATGGCCCCCTACCCCTGGCGGCGCACAACACCAATCCTGGGAATGTGGCCGAGGGCCCTGGATGGAGCACGCCGTGGAAAGCCGGGCATGACCTCTCCCGATTCCAGAACTCACTCCTGGCATTGCTTGGACGTCCATTCCCTGTGTTTTTTTCGGTTTCTTGCGTGTTTTTTTTCGCGACATGATCAAGGATGTTCCTCGATGGCCCTCGCCGAAAGAAAAATGCACACGTCCGAGCGATGCCAAGCACTCTAAGCTCGTAAGGTGCAGCCGCTAACTTTGCGTGTAGGGCGCCCTCTCCGGAGAAGGGAAACTTTGTGGCCAGGCCGCGGGACGCTATTATGCTTGCGGCCCTCATCAGATCCCGCTCCAAGCTGGTCCCTGCACCATTCCTAGGGCCCACTTGTGGTGACGAGGAGGGATCCCGAAAGCCAGCCCGAAACGCGATTTCCATGGCAACCCCGCGGGTTAGGCAGGATCTCGACTGTTTTTGCCTGGCGGCGGTGAATTTCCGTGGCTGCGCCTGTGCGCAACAGGCACGCGTGAGACGAGCGACTGTGGCGAAGGACCACGACCAGGGCGCCAAGAGGGACGGAACGAGGAGACGCGTAACCCGCAGAGCAGAGCTCGAACGTCTCGTTCGCCCCGATGGGCACGAATATATAGCCTCCAACATCGGCGGCGAGCGAGGGGGGAAGTGAGAAGGAGAGGGGCCTTCTCAGAAGGCGGCGGGACTGCTCAGAAGACCTCGCGCCTCATGGAAGGCGCAGCGAGAACTTCTCAGAAGTCCGGGAGCAAGGAGGAGATGTAGGAGGAGGAGGAGGAGGATGCGGAGGAGCAAGGAGGAGGAGGAGGAGGAGGAGGAGGAGGAGTGGCAGGGGGGGACTCCCGAACCTTCGGACGAGGGCTTTTCCTTCTCACCTCCCCCCCCCGCGCGCGCTGCCGACCGAGGGGCACGACGCTATATATATATATATATATACAGCCTTCAAGAGGCAAGCACTCACCGGAGTGGCTGTCACGGGATCTGCCTCCGAGCACTGCTCGAGTCAGGATGCCCCCGCTCTGGCTCACGTTGAACAAGGACCGACCGTCCCGGCATTCCTATAGTCCTACCACGAAATGTTCTTAGAACCCAAACATTTTCGAAAACAAGAACAATGTTCTTAGAACATAAGCCCGATGTGTTAAAACAAGACAGTCCCAGACAGAAATGTTCTAAGAACATTTCGTGGGAACCACAAAGAGGTTCTTAGAACATTGTATGGTGGGGCTATAAGCGAGCCGGGACGCTTCGCCACTGCTTGATCACGTGTGCCCAGGCGTCTGATGACACAGCTCGAGGAAGCGGGAGCCCGGGGGCCGTCCTCCGTTGTGACCGCTGCAACGCTTTTACGACGAGTGGGAGCGGCGCCCTCCATCAGCGCAACGGCTGCGAGATGCCAGCACGAGTGTGCGTGGGGCTGGGGCGGGAGCCCAGCTTCGCAGACCACGCCCATCCACTTCTGTAGATACTGCAGGCGTTGACGCCGCATGTGCGCGGCGCTGAGGCGAGAGCTCCATTCTGACCCCCCCCCCATCCATCCATGTGCAAAAAAAACTTTGCAAAACAAAAACAAAAAAAAACAAAGGATTGCAACAAAAACCTTGCAAGCTCATCCGGCGAGGGAAAAAACCGAAGGATTGCAAACAACCGACAATTTTTTTGCAATCCTTTGCAAGCTCATCCGGCGAAAGTGGTGCACGTCGCGAAGGCGAGGGCCCCATGTTGGCCCCCCCCTGTCCATCCGTATGGCTGGTGCAGGCTTGTGCCCCGAAGGTGCGTGGCGGGAGGGCGAGAGCCTCGCTATGGCCCCATCCAGCCTTCCAGCTCCACGAGTATGCGCGGCGCTGGGGCGGGAGCCACGTGCTCAATGCAATCCCTTCCGTTCTGGTGGTTGCGAACAAACCAAGCTTCGGTGGAATACTGTTCGCCGGCCTGAACACCTGCACAATGAGTTGTTGCACTGTGGAGGTAACAGCTGTGCGTCGTACGCTACGCGGCACACGCGATGTGGTGCAAGCTGTGTGGTGTGAGCTGAAGGTGAACGCTGCGCAGTCTGAGATACCTGCTGTGCGCTCTGTTGTGCACACGATGCGATGTAAGATATGTGGTGTCCGATAGGTCGTACAAGTTTTGTGGTGACATCCACGCTGTGCAAGCTCAGCGCACGGGGCGCCCAGGAGCGCCCCCGGCACGGGCGGCCGCTCGGCGCAACCTCGGCAGACCTCCCCCGACGCACGGGGCGCCCACGAGTGCTCACGAGGCGATAGAAGCGGCAACTTGGTATAATTTTGGCGAAATCTCCCCTGACGTACGGGGCGCCCACGAGCGGCCACAAGGCGACACGGGTGGCCACGCGGCGCAACCTCGGCAGCCTCCCCCAACGCACGGGGCGCCGCCCACGAGCGCTCACGAGGCGGCACGGGCGGCGATGTGGCGAAGGCCCAGGATGCCAAACCAGTTTCTTCACGGAGTAAGGGGGGCCCCGAAGTGCAGGCACTGCTCGGACCATTCGGGAGGACAGGGTCTCAGCTGAAACGCCCGGCCCGCCCTACCAGCACGCCGAGTGGTCCAACAGGTATCTACAAGACAACGAGGACGGAGAATGGAGGAGGAGGAGGAGGAGGAGGAGGAGGAGGAGGAGAAGGAGGAGGAGGAGGAAGAGGAGGAGGAGGAGGCGGAAGAGGGAGAATGTTCCTGGGCCCCCACTCGGCCCTTGGGGTGGCCAACCTGGACCGCGGGCGCAGGTGGTAGTTGTTCGCGGCCCGCAGCTGCTCCCCGACGTACCTTCGGAGGCGAGAGGGAGCCCTCCTCGTCCTCCTCCCCACTCTTCTCCCTATTCTCGTCCTCCTCCTCGCCCTCCTCCTTCCTCCTCCCTCCGTTTCCTCCTCCTCCTCATCCCGAATTGTTCCTTGTATGTTCTAAAGACTCTCTCCGGAGACATGCCCTGGGACCAACGACATTGTGGTCAACCATCGCTTGGAACGCCGGGGCAATGCCTGGATATTCGCGCTCACTTCTGGTGCTACGTGCTACGGTGGTCATCAGAAGATTACCTTCAGTGACCTCCGCTCACTTGAAGAGGGGTGCAAGGACCTACTGGCGATGCAGACTTGGCCGAATGCTGCATGGTCCATACAAGTACGTATGCCTGCAAAGATGGGAGGAACTCCAATCTCACCGACCCCCGCACCCTCCCCGAATGATCCACATGCTCATGCACTTGTTATGGGGTCAACATTTGGCTGCCCAGGCTGCCAAGATGTTGGACCGAGTAATTCGAAGATCCTCCAGTCGCCGGACATATCGTGCCACCAGCATTATCTCTTAGTTAATATGTTTTGAGCAGTGTATTAATTGGACTTAGGTCCGCCTGCAGGAGCATGGATACTGCCTGGATCCCAAGTGTGTGCAGCGCGGGGCAGCTGAAGCTTCACTCTGCCATCGATCATGGAAGTGTCCGAGGGATTGCAAAATAACCCTTCGAATGATTGCAACACACCAAGTTTTTTGCAATCCTTCGAAGGATTTTTTTGCAATCCTTCGAGCATGTTTTTTTGCAGTCCTTCGTTTTTTTTGCAAGCACTCGCTGACCGTTGCCACGCACTGATGCCAGAGGCAGTTCTCGATGCTTTGATTCACGCAGACTTTTTGTGAGATGGTCGCTCTCCTGAGGTTTCAGGCGGAACACGAATTCCTCGTGCCGCCACCAACTGGATTCGGCCACGAAATTTCGAATTCTGGTCCACGCTCAGGATGCCGCCCACCTTTGCAATCATCGGCTCCAACTTTCGGACGGCCCCATGCCTCAAATAGACCCACCCTCTTTTTGACACGAATTGAGATACATTTCGAGGGCAAGTGCGTCGCATGGATGTACGGCCGAGTGGGCTCTCACCTGCCGCTGAACACGTGACAGCTCTAGTCTTTGACTTGCCCAGATGTGCCGAAGCTGCTTCGCATTATTTCTTCGGCGGCGGCAGCGATATCAACCCAGACTCGAGATGTCGCTCTTCATCGTAGGTATTTTTATGAGTGTCGCGAACTCCTGACATTACGCGGGAGGTTGGGGAGCTGAAACCGACGTGAACCCCTACTGGGAAATCGGTTTCAATTACGGTCCGTGCTGTGTAAGAGGTGCGTGCGGGCGTGGCGAAGGAACGCGAATTCGTGCACAAACTAAACCAATGTCACACCAAAGCGAGTCGCGTCCCGGCCCGCCAAGGCGTGCGC